TGTCTTCATGTCCCGTTCTTCTTCATTACAACTTCAGTGAAATTTGGAAAGAAGTATGGGTGCAACGTGTATGGAAACATACCATGGGGACGAGAGGTGTATGCCAAATCACAAGCCATTGTTTTTTGTGTTTCTGCCATAATTATAACTATTTTATACATCCTCATTTATAAGTTCATTCGTGCTCACCAAATTATTCGCAAAAAAATGATAAATGCACATGTCACATCCACTACAACAAAGAGTGTTGCATCAGTAAGTGCCGCTGTTTCCAAGACCGATGCTAAATTGTCAAATGCTGCAGAGTCCAATGGAACCTGCAAGCAAGGACGACACGGCTCTCTGCAAAATGAAGTCTCATGTGACACAAGATCCCACCCTAGGCCAGTCCAAGAGAAGACGGAGCAATCATCAAAGAAGTCTAAAAGCCACCAGACTGATCATAAGACTACTCAAGTGGTCATCATCATTACAGTTATATTTTTTCTCTTCTGGTTTCCTAGCATTGTTCTTGATCAGGTTCCTGATAAGCTAATGCTTAGGATTATCCCAGCTGACCTCCTGTATATTGTGTATTGCTTTTACCAAACCAAGTACATCAATAACTTTATCAATGTTTTTGTCTACCTGTTTGTAAATAAAAGCTTTAAACGTACCTGCTGCAAGCCATTCACTTATTGCAATAATTAACAAAATGTCATTAAAGAGTAATGTAGGAAAACTTGTACAAAAGAATACAATTAAGATATTTCTACCTATAATTAAATTTGTAGAATATAATGGTGGTTCATTTCAAATTTCATTGGGGTCATTCATTGTTAGTAAACTGCTGGTAAACACACATTCATCAGCATGTAATTAGAAAGAAATGCAATTAAATAATTGTGGCTGTAAAACAGGAAGAAATGAATGTACCAATATACTGTATATATTACTTATTTTTCCTAACATTCCTATTCAATGCTTGTATAACCTACTGTATGTTGATTGTTGAAACTATACATGTATGTGTGGCTGTTACATGTACATACTACTTTTCATGAATCTAAGTTCCTTTGGTTATATACATGTACATACCTGGACAATAAAATGTGGACAGGGTAGCGCATATCTTGGTATCAATATATTTTGCAATTTGAAGAAGGAAAATTAGGAAATCATATTCATTTCTCTTTTGAAAAATTATGAGTAAATCTGAACCCTAACCCTCCGTGCACCACCATCAGTGGGCGGAGGAATAAAAAATAAGAACAAAGGTGGTCTGCACTCTCATGTTCACTGTACTTGTATTTAAATAAGTACAGCTATTCATGTACATATACATACAAAGTTTATGTTACCCTGTTTCTTTATTGAGTCAAATGATTGACCAGTATTCTTATGAATGTCAAAAGCAGGCTTGGGCAATATACAATTAATACAAAATTTGGAAAAGTAATTTAAAGAGGATGATCTCTATCAATCTCTATTAAGCAATCAAGCTCTGTCCTTGTAAAGTCAGTTCTTTAATGATTCATAAGATTCAATCCACTCAGATAAATATCATTGAACTGTTTAATGATGCTTCCGCCATAAAGCGATTTTACAAACCAAAACAGAAGCAAATATTTTTCAAATTCAAGTTTGAAATTCATTCTAATTCATGAACAGGTTCTCAGAATATCGTGATTACAAGCCATTTTTCATATCTACATGTATGTACGACCCTTCGATCTTTGACCTTTGACCTCATGACCCTAAAATCTACTCAGTTCATTGGCTCTGCAAGATACATACATGTTTCAAGTTTGATGGTAATCCGTCCATCGGTTCTTGAGATAACGTGATCACAAGCCTCTTTTGCATACATAATGAGCCCTGTGGCCTTTGAGCTCGTGACCCCAAAATCTAATCAGTTCATTAGTCTCGCAAGATACATACATGACCCAAGTTTGGCAGGAATCCATCTATCGGTTCTTGAGAACGGATGGATGGACAGACAACTCGCAAACATAATGCCTCCGGCTACTTCGTAACAGAGGCACAAAAATATACAACAAAGTTAGAAGGTGGTCTGCACTTTAATAAGTACAGCTATTAATGTACATGAAAAGTTTATGTTACACTGTATATTTAGTCAAATGATTGACAAGTATTCTCATGAATGTCAAAAGCAGGGCAGGGCAATATGCAACTAATTAAATGTTTGGAAAAGGAATTTAAAAAAGTTTGTCTCTATCAATCTCTATAAAGCGGTCATGCTTCGTCCTTGTAAAGTCGATACTTTAATAATCCATAAGATTCAATTCATTCAGATGTACCATTAAACTATTCAACAGGATTCCTGATACAGATCAATGCGAGCAATATTAAAAGTGTAAAGCATTCACGTGGATAGATTTTGAGACACATTGTGCACAAATAATGGGGGAGATTTATAAAGAAAAATCCAACAAAGTTAGAAGGTGGTCTGTAACTCTGTATTTATATGTAAATAAGTACAGGGATTCAATGACATGTATACAAAGTTTATGTTATACCGATTCCTTTAAAAAGTCAAATCATCGACAAGTATTCTGATGAATGTCGAAAGCAGGGCAGGGCAATATGCCATTAATTAAATTTTTGTGAAAGGAATTTAAAAAGGTTCACGTCGACCAATCTCCAAGCAATCACGCTCCATCCTTGTAAAGTCAATACTTTTTTCGATTCATAAGATTCAATCTATTCAAATAAATCATTAAACTTTATGTAAAAGGACTTTTTAAAGGTTTACCTCTGTCAATCTCCAAGCAATAAGGCTCCATCCTTGTGAAGTCAATACTTTTAACGATTCATCAAATTCAATCTATTTGGCAATAATGTTGTGACCGTACAAGAAAATACAGGGAAGTATGTGATTGACAAGAAAGGTAGAAACAAGATAGTTTGTAATTTCCGCTGAAATTGCCAGAATACTAGAGAAGTTCAAATAATCTTTCCCAGATATATTACAACATTCAATCTGTTAGTTTTAAAGAATTTTCAAAGGAATTCTTAATCTTTTGCTATCAACCTTACCCTACCTTACGTGACTTGCTAATGTATAAATAACATGTTGGGTTCATTAATCCTTTCATTTCTGTAGAAGCATTGGCAGTGTTTACAGCATCATCACAGTTACTTCAGATATCATCTTTAGATATGATCTTTAGATATTGCTGAAATACATCAGTTTAAACTATTTCCACCTCAGATCAAATTCTTTAAATCATACTTTGCTATCATCTGTCAAAATGTTTACCGGTAGTGCAATGGAAATTATCCGCATGGCAGTTGGTTGTTTGGCTGCTGCTCTTGGTATTCCTGGCAACATAACAATCATATTTGTCTTTGTAAGACAAGGTATCAAGAATGCTACTGATGTTACCTTTACTGCACTTGCCATTGTTGATCTCATGGCCAGTATCATCAACAGCATGAAGATCCCAATGGTCTTCTTTCAGAATGATCACCCATGGGCATGTTTTGTGGAGATCATCGGAGGAAGGTCTGCACTCTATGCTGGGTTGTTTCTCACGATCTCGATTGCTGTTTACCGCTACCAAGCTGTCTGTAAGCCATTTGAAAGACGAATCGGACGGCGAGCTGCCATCTTGATCTCCATCGGTTGCACACTTCTTGCAGTCTGTCTTCATGTCCCGTTCTTCTTCATTACAACTTCAGTGAAGATAAATGAAGGGTCGTATGGGTGCAACGTGTATGGCAACATACCATGGGGACGCGAGGTGTACGCCAAATCGCAAGCCATTGTATTTTGTGTTTCTGCCATAGTTATAACTATTTTATACCTCCTCATTTATAAGTTCATTCGTGCTCACCAAATTATTCGCAAAAAAATGATAAATGCACATGTCACATCCACTACAACAAAGAGTGTCATATCAGTGAGTGCCGCCGTTTCTACGACCGATGCTAAATTGTCAAATGCCGCAGAGTCCAATGGAACCTGCAAGCAAGACACAAGATCCCACCCTAGGCCAGTCCAAGAGAAGACAGAGCAATCATCAAAGAAGTCTAAAAGCCACCAGACTGATCATAAGACTACTCAAGTGGTCATCATCATTACAGTTATATTTTTTCTCTTCTGGTTTCCTAGCATTGTGCTTGATCAGGTTCCTTATAAGCAACTCTTTAGGATCTTTCCAGCCAACCTCTTTTATATCGTGTATTTCTTCTACCAAACCAAGTACATCAATAACTTCATCAATGTTTTTGTCTACCTGTTTGTAAATAAAAGCTTTAAACGTACCTGTTGCAAGCCATTCACTTATTGCAATAATTAATAAAACGTCATTAAAGAATAAAGGAGGAAAACTTGGAATACTAGGAATACAACATGTATAAAATTAAGATATTCGTACATAAAAGTTAATGGTGATTCATTTGAAATTTCGTTAGGATCATTCATTGTTAGTAAACTGCTGGTTAACACACAATCACCAGCATGTAATTGGAAACAAATGCAATAAAATAATTGTGGTGGTAAAACAGGAAGAAATTAATGTATAAATATACTGTATATATATATATACAACTTATATCTCATTTCTTCAATGCTTGCAAACTCACTGTACAATGTCCATTGTTGATACCATATTCAACAAATATACAGTACATGTAAATGTACGTGTCAGACCTACCTATGATTAATGACTATAAGGAAAGATCTTCTTTCTTTTTTTTAATCGGAAATAGCAGAATGCGGGAAATCCCGGATTTTCAGGATTCTTTTTCTCCAGAATGCGGGATTGTCCTGCAAAAAGCAGGCCACTTTGCAGGTCTGATATGTACATACCTGAACAAAATATGGAGAGGGCAGGCACATTTCTTGGTATCAATCTATGTTGACAATCTGAAGAAGGAAATTATATTCTCTTCTGTTTTAAAAGTTTATGAATAAGTACTTCTGTACAAGAAATGCCTGGGATGATAGCCTTTGCGTACCAATGTGTTTACAAACTGAAAGTTGGGATCCTTACCCTTCGTTGAACAGAGGTACCACGAACTTCTGCGTTGACACTCGTACCATAGCTCGGATTATTGGATCCTTCCACCTGGATAGGTCTTCTTGCATTTGAAGCACCATCTGATGTCGGTGCAAGAATTTCAGCCGACATTGTTTCTGTTGGTGCCTGCTCCTCCTCCTCAGTGTCTAACATCAACCGTGTGTTTTCTGTAGAATTGTCTTCGTCCTGGTCCCACACACCCATATGTGAGCTGGAAAGAAAGGAGAGAAAACGGCTACGTCACCAAAATAAGTGAGAAATGGGCTGTACAGTGCAGCTACGAGGAGGATGTACGTGCTTGTGTGATTAGACGTCACAAAATGAGTGACTTCCGCCTCTTGAGTAATTGAATGAAATGTATGTATAGCTCTACTACATGGTGCTGGTAGTCTTCCTCAAGTCATAATGTAACATACATTCACTTAATAATTTGTCACATTTTTTGCATGTAGCAATTCTGGAAAACACTATGAAAATAAAAGGAAAATTTGAAAATAAAAGGAAAATTTTAAAACAAATATTCTATTTTATTCTTTTGTTAAAAATTTTAGACAAAAGGAAAACACAGCAATCAAAATCAGGAAAGAGCAGGGTGAGTTGGAAAATAAGATTAGTTGAAATGTTGTCATTCTCTTGTAAAGATGTAAACATGTAATAAATTTGTTTAAATTTTACCGCAGAGTGGTACATGTACATGTAGTTGAAGATAAAGTTGAGTTCTGGTCATGTGATTGCATTGTGAAAGAAAAGGTGTGGAATGGATAAGAAAAAGTTGATCATTTAGCATGTAAGTATTGGTGTGTAGTGCAAGGTACTGGAGTCATAATAAATTTGGCCTAGTCTTGGTAAATTAACAGGCACTGTACACAGAAAGATGTATCATATGGGACTACACAAATGGTGTCGGGCCTACTTACACTGTACCTTGATTTCCTTATCTTTCTATGCTCATTACTCAGCCAGTATACATTTTCTACCAAAAATGTTCGGCAAATGACATTTATTTGTAATCTCAAACATTCAGTGTAAGTTTTGTTTGATTCTGTGAGAATTCATTTTCTTTTTTTTACCCAAACTCATGTTTATCTGTAAGGGTTCATTACCATCTATCAATAAAGGAATGGTGTTTGAAACTTGGATTAGAAAGGAACATTTAATTTAAGACAGATTTTTTGCAATATTGTATTGTTGTAAATATTGAATTATCTGTTTTATTACTCTTAGATTATGAAATGTATGTAAATTAGCTAATGTAAATACAATGTACAATATAGCTCCAGATTGTACACAGGTCCAGGAATGAACTTTAAAATGAAACAAAATGGCACAAATTCACAAAGGAGGTTTGTCGACAAACCTTGGTTTTTGTACGTCATATGACGCGTTTTTTTATGCATTTTTTACAAACCTGGTTTGTAAAAACGCGTTGAAACGCGTCATTAGACGCACGAAAACCAAGGTTTGTCGACAAACCTCCTTTGTGAATTTGGGCCAATATGTTTGTATCTTATGTCTACAATATGCATTGGAGCTTGTACTTCGCCACTTTAAAGGGATACCGGTAGTTGAGTTTTGGTAAAGAGGTCACTACACACAAAAAAATTTAGTGAGATAATGAAAAACGGAGTGTCAAATTTAATAGAGCATACAAATTAAATGACAAAATCATCTTTTTTTTTATCAAAATCAGTTCAGAGACGGCTGAAATATCCATGAATATAACCATTTCTAATATTTGAACCAGCAGTTGAAAAAACAAGATAGCACCTTATACGTTTTATTCCAACCAATGCCAATGTCTTAAACAAGAACTCAACTATCCCTTTAAGTTGGTAGCAGGTGTAAATTATAACAAATGATCCAATGTAATGATATATGTACATGTATATACATGTAAATTGTAAATAGATAAGAAAAAATATACGTACAGGTGTACATATATGAAAAAGCTGATGTTTCTACCAAATGAAATGTATGAAGTATTCTAATGCATCACAAACTACATGTATGATGCTAAAGGCTTGGTCACGCACTGTCCACTAATACAGTAAATGAACTGTACCTGTATTTGGTCTCCAAGTGTGTATGAGGTAAAAGCTAGGTTTACAACCCACCACCATTGAGAAAAAGTTTGGAAAGGAAGGACCAGAACAAAGTAGTGAATGATAAAAATAAGTGAAACAAAGAGTGTATGAATGAGAAATAATATTTCTATAATTTTTAGTAGAAAGTGGAAGTAAATGCAAAGTGTTGCAGGTCTCAAAACACAAGTGTACTAAACTATTGTTGAGATACAGTGAATTCTTGTAAGTATTTGATATGGATTATTTAGTAAAATCTCTTGTGTGGTCCCACACACACGCACACCTCACGCAAATTAGTTCCATTAAGCATGCCAACGCACTCCATAAAATCAAAATAATAATAGTCTATAGAGATAACATGTTTTACCATAATTATCTCAGGCCTTTACAGGTCTTCAATTTTGAATTTTAATAGTTTTGACATTGTTGTTTTAACTAAAGCTCCCTGCAATTATTCAGATACCTTCTGTTTCATACATTGTGAGAGGGCTGGCGTGATTTAAATCACCTTGATATCAATATTGATTTGTATCTCCTGATTTAAAAAAAAATAAATGATTACCAATACCATTACTTCCATAGACTTGTGTGTTGACAAATATTTTCTTAAAAGTGGATCCCCCCCCCCATCAGTTCTGTGCAAATAATTCAGTTGAAAAACTATCTTAACCCTAAGCCCATTAGTATCAGTGATGCAAATAGTGTACATATTTAAAGCCCATATTGATTTTTCAATCTTCTATGACATTTTCAGTACAACTCTTTTTATCTTTTCTTTTATCACACCTTATGTGTTTTCTTTTTAAAAAATTGATTTATGTTTTCCTTTAACCCTCTCTTTTATCATTCTTACGTTATTCTTTCTTTTCTTTTTTAAATTTTTTAATCACAAATGTTTTTCCAACCCTGATTGTAAATCACCAACAAGCTATCATAACTTTTTACTAGCATCATGCATAATGCAGAAAAACACAATGAATTGCATTATTTGTTGGCAACATTGTAAGAATCAATTGAACGTACGGTAACCTATTTTCATTTTTTCTCAGGAGCCAGGTAACATTAACTGTCATAAATAGGGCAAATCTTGCATGTAAGGCACTTTGTCTGATTATTGTTTGTGCTACAAATTTATGTACCTGTATACAAAAAGTCATGTACAAGATTGTGAAATGTTATAGAATGGAATAAGAAGCACATCTTGCATATTATATATTTGTAAACACTGGTCAATGATTAATAATCAAGCAATTCGTCTTTCGTCAATTTAGATTTTTCATAGCATTTTGGTACTATAATTGGTAGCTAGAAAAGCATTGAATGTTGAATGTTCCTTTAAACATGTATACTGAAAGAAGCAAATTAGACAATAAAAATTCAGTAAGTATAGTTATGCTTCTTGAAATGTCACTGAGAAAATGGCCATGGTTTATACTTTCCTTATACATGTACATGTACATGTGAACACATGTATAAGGAAAGTAAAATTCTTGGCATTATCAGGGACAAACATTTCAGGCTATTGATACTCATTGTGCTATTCTACATGTATTAGCAATTTAGCATCAGTTAAAAAAGAAATTGGACGTGCATGATGAACTATAATCAGGTATTTCTCACAAGTTACATATGTTACTGATGAGCAAAATAAATGAAACTTAAAATCAAATGCCACATAAAATCAATTAAAAAAAAAATCACACACAAATTGGTAAAATATAGTAGAAGGCTAGAAGCAGTGCAAACTTCTGCAAAGTATACATGTATTATGATTATGATAAATGGTGCATTGGTTGTAACAGGTTCCCATACAATGATGTAATTTCATTACCTTTTGTATTACACTAAGTATAATAGAATTCAAATGTCCAATTACTTGGAGTCAGGATGCCTCTGAAACAAAAAAATATTTGTAAATTGTTTCTCTAAGTGCTTTACATACAATGTACACATCAATGTTGATAATAAGAGACTGTATGCATGTATTAGTCAACTGCATTGTATTTTTAATGTAAGTAAACATGTTATGTGGACTATGACCATGAACGTGAGCACCAGTAACCTTCAATTGTTTAGCTTGTAAATTCAGAATAAATTCACCACACTAAATATTTGTCACTTGATTTGTTTTGAATTGCAGCCAAACGTTTGAATACACTGTACAAGACAAGATGTGTAAATTAATGTAAAACACTTTCTGCTAAAAGCCAACAGGCATGATTCTGTAGTGAAGGCTGCTGGCATTCTGGCTCTCAGCAGATAATCAGCCTGCAGACATGTATTTTCATGTCAATTTCTTCAACTCTTACTGTGCAAGTACATGTAAGACTGTGCCGAACACAATTGGTAACTCTGTGACATGAGCACCTCTCCCATATCCTCTGTTACTGTACCAAAAGAAATTATAATTTTCCATTTTCTCTGAAGAAAAAAAAAAAGGAATTATCCCTGACAATCCTTGCGCCCTGGATCTTGGTAGAATACATGTACCGGGATTCCTTTATCAACCAAGAAAATGGAAATTCATGAACTTTTCTGAACAAAGCAATTGGGAGAGGTACTTGAAAGGTATGTCATAACCCAAAGAGTTATCTACTTGTATTTGCTGTATTACAAATTTTAAAATTCCAACTTTCCTATTAGATTCTTTACAAGAGTTTCCTCAAACTTTCACTGCCCTGTTTCTCTGATTTTGTCTGCTCTTATGAAAATCATGGTGGGCTTCCTCTTTTATGCGCATGTATACAGGTGTATCATGCACATTGCAATGTCTATTGCACTCTTAATGGCAGTGACATGGGTGTGATATCATTCAATATCAAAGCATTTGATGGCCTACACATCTGTGCAACATTTGGCTTATTGGCTGGATTTGCTGTCTTAAACTCATTTCTCACCATTATAGTCATAATATACCAGACCCCTTCTAGAAAAAAACCCATATACCGTATTTGCCAGCGTAAAGGCCGCACCGCCGTATAGGCCGCACCCCCAACTTTGACATTTCGTAGAAGAAAAAAAAAAAAAAACTAAAAAAAAAAAACTAAAAAAAAAAAAAAAAAAAAAAGAGAAAAAAAAAACGGACCAAAAAAATGATCGTAATTTTCTTGTAGAACACTCTTTTTTTTTTTACAAACTATACCAAATTCATCAATATTCTTATAAATCAACAAGAAGTTAACCTCAAAAATGATCATAATTTAGCAGATCTTCATCGACTTTTAAGCTAGTACTGTATCGTACGCAGATTTGGTATCCTACAAAACCCCTACCTCGATGTAAGGTGTAATCCGAAATAGCGTTTTTCGACCTGCGCAGTTGCGTTGCGCGGCAGCTAGCTCCGTAAGTAACGGCCTGTCCCTTTTTTTACTTTTTGGCGATGCAATGGTACGGACTTAGATCTAGATCTATCGGCAGATTTTATTAGAAAAATAAGTTTTTTCGTCTTCATGTCAACTATGCAACATAAAATTGTCGGTAAGTTGTGTGGAGTTATTCTAGAATTGTCCTGTACCGTTGTCTAGTCATGCTACCGTTCATATAGTCCCATACGTGCAAATGGACGTGATGTTTTGACCGCTGAATTTTGTTGTTGTTGCGTATACGCCGCACCCCGACTTTTTGATTTTTTCTCACCCGAAAATACTGCGGCTTTTACGCCGGCAAATACGGTAATTCATGTTTTGTTTGCTCAAAATTGCTGAATATGCATGACTAGAAGAAAAAGAGCCCTTCTCAATCTTGTGCATATTCAGCAATTACGGGCAAACAGCGCTCTATACTACTATAGCATGAATATTCATATTTGCTGCACCGCTATCGCGCATCCGTACTTTAATTCTCTTCGCCATGTTGAATCGACGAAACAACATGGATATGGATTGGTTTAGGACGAGCAATCAACCTTTTTCCCATCAAAGACTTCTTCAAAGTATAGTTTTAAGTGTTTGGAACAATGCCCTGAGGAGTCGAAAAACATTGCAAGTCAAAATTGTAATTACTAGACCTTCACATTTCGAAAAAATGTGACCCAACCCGCTGTTCGAATCGTTTTCCTATACGAGCTCTGGCGTTAACTACTTACTAAATTATAGGCCTACTTGATACTAGAGTCTACTCTTCCTACATTTTTGAAAATTGAAATTTTAGTCATTTAGTGTTTTGGAACAAATGGGAAAGTTGTCCGGCAATTCTGCCATTGTTGTAACCTTTCAAAAATCACAACTTTTTCATTTTGGGTCTGATTTCATTCAATCTATCACCAGTCTACTTCTCTGATTTTTCTGATTTCTTCTACTTTCTAGAGTAGTTTGCTATCAAGGTTGGGTTTCCCTTTAACTGGAAGCCTGGAAGGTATACAAATACAATCTATCATGAACATCGACGAGTCTGGCCTGGCTAGAATTCAGCTAAAAACTGTGCAGCAAGTTCGATCCAATTTACATGGCATTTATCCCAACACTAATGCAATGGCAATGCAATGCGCTGCACTGCCTGTGCCTTCTCCTACAAAATGAAACTGAAAGGCATCCTGATTTCAATTTCAAGGTAAAACCCGCTTTTAAAGTACAGTAGATCTACATGATTATATGTAAATCTTACCTTTTTCATACAACAAGCATTTCTTCTCTTTCCCTAAAAGTCAGTGAGGTGGTGTTCGTTCATGAAAAGATTGCTTCCGGATATCCACTTGTTCCTCATATACTGTACATGTACGTACGATACGAATAATACCGATTTCGCATATATCGCATTTGATAATGCGTGATGTCACGTGACGGTGCTTGGTGGTGGAGATCACTTTCTGTATGGTACACATCACAGAACTAAAAATAAAAATAAATAAATAAAAAGAAACGTACTTTCAGTCCCATGCGAGAACCGGAACCTTGACACGTAAATTATAATATTTTCACTAATTTCAAACATGAGTTTTATTTTTTTAGCCAGTCCATTTAGATAGAACAACGAAAAGACGCACTTATGACAGTACCTCAACACGTCGTAATCGAAGGGGAAACCCCCAGAACCGAGCTGCGATGAAAACAAATAGGATAAAGTGAGCAGAAATAATTCGGGGCGGGGGTTGGTGACACACCGACCCGCGTTATTTTTTGTCTTCATTGTTTAGTTAGTTGCAATTAATGAGTGATGCATTTTATCAGGGGAGGGGTAGGCCTACTCAAATTAGGTTTGGACGGGGGTGTGCCGCTGAAGCCTCAAAAAAAAGTTGTTGTGGGGGGGGGGGGGGGTGGGGTTCTCGAAGTAAAGCCAATTTATCGCATTTGTTTTGGAAGTTTTGAAAAACAGACCCATATGTTTAGGGATATTTTTGTTAAAAATGGGACCCATGTTTAGAGATTTTTTGTGAAAAAGTGACCCATTAGAGCGGCCTGTACACCACCGTATGTCTTAATATGTGGGTACCCCGCCCCCTGCTCTCAACATACTTTGGTTTTTATACCCCTCCACTCGTTAACTTTGATAATTAAATATGAGCTTTATACTTTCTTAATTTATTTTCATGGCAGGGGGAAATTCATCAGAATGTAAAGATCGCTCTATAAAGTAGAGATTTTACCTATATATTCTGCTTGGTCACCATTCATGACCGTCATTTTATATAGTATTCCAACAATGACAGGTAGCCTAAACCGACTAGAAAAACCAATGGTTAACCACTGATCCTCGTACGCCTATACGTGTGCATAGGGTCTAGTTAAATCATAAAGGTTCATGGTTGAATAGAATTAGAATATAAGGGGGGACGCCTTTATCAGGGATCTTAATTGATGGTCAAAATGTTTCTACACAGTCTGTAATAAAAGTTAGCTACTATAGGCCAACATTCATTAAACACTCCTTATACTTTTCTTATGTCCATAGTATATTCTACAATAAATATAGGGTTTCTTATTTCATAATTCTTAAGTTTAAGACATATCCCATGTTTCTTTTATAGCTTATGTACTATTCTCAGTATTTACAATTTCGCAAATTAACTTTTTTTTTCTAACGAAAAGATGAAGGGGGAAAAAATATTCATACTTTTTCTTTTCAACATTTCTCTTCTCTCCATTCAATTTTCCATTAATTTTGTGCATTGACATTTTCCGTTGATCATAATTAAAGAATTTAGAAATATGATCTTCAAGCCAGTAACGAGTGTATTTGCTTATGTTGCACAAATGTATCACAAAACGTATATAAAACTTAATTGAACTCAATACCTTTTTGACAATTTTAGCTATTTGGCTGTATGTTTTAACCATGAAAGTCCACACTGGAAATTCAAACATGATAATTGCAATCAGGCGCGTACGCAGGATTTTTTCAAGGGGGGGGGGGGGGGTTTTTAACATTTATAAATCGGGCCGAAATTTTCGCAACGACTCAGCCAGCCGCTGAATAAGCGGGGGGGGGGGGTAAGAGGTCACTTTTTTTTCTTTTTTTTTTGGTCCCAAAAAAATCGCAACGACTCAGCCGACTGCTGAATAAGCGGGGGGGGGGGGGGGGGGGGGGGGGGGGGGTAAGAGGACACATTTTTATTTTTTTTTTGGTCTCGAAATTTGAAAATTTGACATTTTGCTCCGTTGGGTGGGGGGGGTAATAATTTTTAATAAAAAAAAAAAAAAAAAAAAAAAGGGGGGGGGTTTAGAGAAATTTAGGGGGGGGGGGTTTACACACAAAAAATTACTAAAGGGGGGGTTTAACCCCCCAAACACCCCCCCTGTGTACGCGCCTGATTGCAACTGGGAAGGAGTATGACTTGTTACTTGTAGAGATAATCCCGATGGCAGCTATCATACAGCTAAACTGGGATGTCCGTGCAACGTGCTGGCATAGTGACAGTGCATGAAGCAATTCAAAACAGTGAATGATGTCTATTATTTACAATAAAACGGTGGACGTGCAAGTAAAAAAAAAACCGATACGTGGAGTCTACAGTAGCTTGGACCCAACAGGAGGAGGCAACGCTCTGATGATGGGTAGAGCAGCCTCCTGGAAGATGGTCACTGTTGTAGATATTACCGCAGCAGCTGATAGGTGGTTCCACGTACAGATGGTGCGAGGATAGAAGGAGTACTTGAAGCTACCAATGGAAGCTGTGGGCAGTGGCGGATCCAGGGGGGGGGGGGGCCCGGGGGCCCGGGCCCCCCCCCCCTTGAGAAAAAAATCATGCAAAATCACGCGATTTTTACCTTTTTGGGGGGTTGGGCCCCCCCCTGGCGCTCAAGGGGGGGGTGCAAATTTTAAAATTTTCGAGGACCCCCCCCCCCCCACTGAGCGACTTTTCGGCTGGCTGAGTCGTTGCGATTTTTTTGGGACTCCAAAAAAACAAAAAACAAATGTCCCTTCCCCCCCCCCCCCCCCCCCCCCCACTGAGCGACTTTTCGGCCGGCGCGATTTTCAAATTTTCGGGAGCAAAAAAAAAAAAAAGTTGGGCCCCCTCCCCTAAGAAATCCTGGATCCGCGTCTGGCTGTGGGTATACTGCATACTTCAGAGGATGATCATTTCTGCCCAGATATGTAGCTGGGAAGAGGCATGTTGAGTTGATGATGGTGCATCTTGTAAAACAAAGTGGACTGTGCAAGAAGCCTGCGATTGTTAAGGGTATCCCATCCCAGTTTGTTGACAAGTGCTGTGACTGATGTTACTCTCCGGTAGTCTTGGTATATAAAACGGGCGGCAGCTCGCTGTACTTTCTCAAGACTTTATATTGATGTCAGAGTCCGAGGGTTCCAAGCTTCACTGCCATACTCAAGTTGAGGACGAACAAGCATTGTGTAGGCTTTGGATTTGATGTTCTTGGTGCACGGTGATAGCGTTCTGCGTAGGAGGCCAAGGGTTCTATTGCCTTTCTGGGTGGTGAGTTTACATTGGGTGTTCCATTTAAGGCACTGGCGTACTGGTGGGGGTGCTTGGGGGGGCTTCAGCCCCCCCCCAAATAAAATTGAACCATGACTTTTGTTCACAAGTGATGTTTATGTTCGTGATATCACATGATTTTCAACAAAATGCTAGTTTCTCCATTAATTCTTGCAAACTGACCCATTCCCCCAAAAAGCTAAGAAGAGCTTATGTTTTTTATAGTCACTAAGGGCCCTATAGTGGCCACTAACAGTAACACGTACTGGTAAAAAATCCTTTCCAGAAGCTTTGTGCAAAGCACTGCCGGGAGATAACATGCTACCTACCACTCGGGCTGAGCATGCACAGATTTGCGAACGAGCGTTCCATACTTACATCATGTAACACTGCACATATAGTGGGGGAAATTGAATTCAGACAAGATTAAGAGTAGAGAACGGTACAACGAATCGTCTTCTTTCTCTAATAATTTAATGAAACGGCAAAGCCTTCCGCGCTTTGCACGGGAGGGGGGGGGGGGGAAATTGAATTCAGACTAGGATTAAGAGTCGAGAACGGTTTTGATGAGACGCGAAAATGATTTCAGACAAGGATTAAGAGTAATAATTAAATAAAACGACAAAGCTTCCGCGCTTCGCGTGGTAGGGGGAAAACTGAATTCAGACAAATACACGATAAAATGAATCGTCTTCTTTCTCTATAAATTTAATGAAACGTGATAGCTTCCGCGCTTCGCGCAGGATGGGCGAAAATGAATTCAGACAAGGGTTAAGAGTAATAATTTATTGAAAGACAAAGTTTCCGCATTTCGCGCGGGAGGGGGTCTGATTTCAGACAAGGATTAACAGTCGAGACCGGTACAACGGATCGTCTTCTTGCTCTAATAATTAAATGAAACGTGAAAGCTTCAGCGCTTCGCGCGGGATGGACGAAAATGAATTCAGACAAGGATTAAGAGTAATAATTTATTGAAACGTCAAAGCTTATGCGCTTCGCGCGGGAGGGGGGAGGGGAACTGAATTCATACAAGGATTAAGAGTCGGGGTTGGAACAATGAATCGTCTTCTTTCTCTAATTATTAAATGAAACGTCATAGCTTCCACGCTTTGCGCAGGAGGGGCGAACCAAGAATTAAGAGTCAAGAACGGTACAACGGATCGTCTTCTATCTCTAATAATATAATGAAGTGTCAAAGCTTCCACGCTTCGCGCGGGAGGGGGGGGGGAACTGAAAAGATTAATTAGTTCCTGGCCCCGGGTTTATGGGGTTAAAATTGTAGGCATTTGGACATTGGCATTTTTATATTTGTCGGTAATTGGTGGCTCGTTTTGTCGGTAATCGGTGGCCTCTACACCCTTCCCCCCTCCCCCACTGAAAAAGATCTAGCCGCGCCCCCGATAACGACACAGTTTATACACTCGAGATAATTTTTGCAAGTACTACAGTGAAGTACCGGCATCAAAGCATAATCTATACAACGTCTCACGACGTGTCAGATCATTTTTCTCTAACTTCTAACGAATCCCTTCCCGCGCAAAGCGCGGAAGCTTTGCCGTTTCATTAAATTATTAAAGAAAGAAGACGATTCGTTGTACCGGTCTCTACTCTTAATCTTGTCTGAATTCAATAAGGCCTCTTTTTTTCCAGGAAGTGCCGGTGGACATTAATGCGCCAAATGTGGTTCTCAAATTGCAAAAGATCCCTACTCTTGGAAGGGGTAGGAGAAAGCAATTTTACGTCATATTATATTACTCCAGGAAGCAGGGGCGTCGCCAAAGGGGGGGGGGGTGAGGGGGTGCGACCCCCCCCCCCCCCACCTGTCAGGATATTGTCGGTAAAATTGCGCTGCCGTCGGAAAAAAGAGAAAAGGGGGAGGGAAAAAAAGAGAGGGAAAAAAAAGAGAGGGAGAAAAGAGAGGGAAAGGGGAAAGAAAAGAAGAAAAAAAAAGGAAAAGAAAAGAAAGAAAGGAAAAGAAAGGAAAGAAAAGAGAAGAAAGAAAGAGAAAAAAGAAAAAGAGGGAGGAGAGGAAAGAAAGGAAAAGAAAGAAAAGAAAGAAAAAAAAAAGAAGAAAAAAGAGTGAAAGGTAAACAAACGAAACGGGGGATGAAAGAGAGGAGAGAGAGGGGAGGTAAGAGTCTGAGAGAAGAGGAGTGGGAGTAAAAGAGAGAAGGGAGTTGTTGGGTGGAGTCGTCTCGTCGAGGGAGCAAGAAAGAAACGGGTAAATATGTTGCTGTGTTGGGTCAGCTGTGTCGGTATTCTTGATCGATCCTCGTGTACTATATCAATGCAGAAGTTTGAAGTCGGTGAGATGTATATTGTCGGTCGGCCTACAAGTTTTTTTCCCTACAAACTGTGTCTTCTTATCCGCTGTGACGACTTCGAGAGTGACTACAACTACAATACTTGTTTTTTCTCGAAGTGTTCACTTTTCTATAATATCAGCTAAAGAAATCAGAGGTTTAAAATTTTCGGGAAAACTACATTCAAACGAGGTCTAAGAGTCAACAACGGTACAACGAATCGTCTTCTTTCTCTAATAATTTAAGGAAACGTCAAAGCTTCCGCGCTTCGCGCGAGGGGGGAACTGAGTTCAGACAAAATTAATAGGGCTTATTTAGAGTCGAAAACGGTACAACGAATCGTGTTCTTTCTCTAATGATATGAGGAAACGTCAAAGCTTTCGCACTTTGCGCGAGAGGGGGGAAACTGAATTCAGAAGAATAGGGCTTATTAAGAGTCGAAAACGGTACGACGAATCGTCTTCTTTCTCTAATAATTTTAATGAAACGTCAAAACTTCCGCGCTTCATTCAGATAAGGATTAAGAGTCGAGAACAGTACACCGAATCGTCTGCTTTTTCTCATAATTTAATGAAACGTCAAAGAGGGGGGTGGGGGATGGGAGGGGGTGGGGGAACTTCATTCAGCCAAGGATTACTAGTCGAAAACGGTACAATTAATCGTCTTCTTTTCCTTATAATTATAGGAAACGTCTAAGCTTCCGCGCTTCGCGCAGGAGGCCCATCACCCACACCCCCTAATGAGCGCGCTTTTAAGTGATTCTCTTGCTCACTACCGCCCCTCCCTAAAATAAGATCCTAGCTCCGCGCCTGCATTAAAATATATAGCTATGATGCTGACTAAATTGAAGAAATAATACGTATATTTATGTCTTCGAGGAAAATGACCATTTCGCACATGCAAGTACTATAGTCCATATGAAAAAAAAATTAGCTTCGGCCCCGGGTTTATAGGGTTATTTGTAAATATTAAACATTTAATTTTGTCGGTGATTGGTGGCTAGTTTTGTCGGTAATCGGTGGCCTCTACACCCCCCCCCCCCCCCCACTAAAAAAGGTCTAGCGACGCCCCTGCCAGGAAGTGCCTGAAAATGCGTCTAATTTGGTTCTAAAATTGCAAACGCTTCTTACTCTGGGAGGGGGCCAGAACCCCCTCCCAGACCCACCCCCTGCTTGGTCACTCCACTCCCTCGCCGTTAAAGCCTCGTTCTGTCGCTTCATCGTTTTACATTTCAACCCTTGCCATTTTGTGCCCCCCCCCCCGGTAAGAAATTCCTGGATTCGCCACTGATGCCCATACCCCTTGAGCTTGGGGGCTCCGCCCCTTGACCCCCGCCGGGCTTTGCCACTAGCCCCCATTTCGAGAAACGTTCAGCAGGGACTGCATGTTAGAGTGGGGGTGATTCGGATTTTTTTTTGTCAGCCCCCCCAAACGTTTTTGCTCATTACGCCACTGATTTAAGGTCATGGGTAATCGTGACACCAAGATACTTGTATTGTTTTACTCGAGGAATTGACTCGTTTAGTAGGGTGTAGTCCACTGTGATGGGGTGCTTCTTGTTTGTGAATTTATTCGCCCCTCACTGATGTGAGGGGCGAAGTTTTTGTGGCTGTATTCCAGGGCTCACTTAAAGAGGAAGTCGATCCTGATATTAAGTCTGGTTTTTAAAAGAAACAGAAGCAGTGAAAGTTTGTGCAAATCCCGATTAGAAATAAGATAGTTATGAAGTTTTAAATTTGCGATCATTCAAACACAAACGGCAACATATCTTGCAAGGTCGTCTCTAATTTGCTCTCTAAATAACATTTCATTAAACGTTCATTTTCTTATAGAAACATAAAGTGCAATAATTATATTGAGGGTGCATGTATGGTTTAATATTTTCTTTAAGGAAAATATAAATTCTGATTTTGTTTATAGTACAGAGCAAATGGGAGGGGAAATCGTTATATACGTCATAAAGTTGCCAAAATTCATAGCTTTCTTATTTTTTAGGCGGAATTTGCTCAAACTTTCACTGACCTGTTCCTCTAATTTTCTGCTTCTATTCGAACCAAATATCGGGAAGGACTTCCCCGTTATGCTACCCGAGGTAGGATGCTCTAATGTGCAGTGAAAAGCACATTTTTATTCATTAAAATATGACTAATTTTTCATAATGAAATGACTGCCTTTCAAACTATTTTTTCGTTTCAATTTTCACACCTGCCACTTTTATACACTTACATGTCAAAACCTGTTGACTACCCTGCTTTTGCCTTTTGCCATAAAAAGCATTGATATTCACCATCAGATAATTAAAAACTATCTTGGTCTCGTTAATTTGTTCTCTCTCTCTCTCTCTCTCTCTCCTTATAATCAATCAATAGTTATATATTTATAGTTATATATTTCCTACTCTCCCTTCTGACCATTTTAATACTAACTGTACAATATACCAACAACAAAAGTCAACATGGACTGCATTACATTGATGTCAAAATGTTTTTTATTTTTTCCTTCAAACCTCACGGCTTACATTTTCTGTTTCTCAGGAAGTTCCGAAGTCATATATAACGATACATTCTCTCTTGGAATATTTTTTCTTTCTTTTAAATATAAATCTTGTTTTAATTGTTTGTCAAAATAAATCATTTGATGCAATTCATTTCAATGATTGATTCCAATAAATTCGATAACATGCAGGTATTCATTTATTTATATCTATTTACAATATTGTTACATATAAATGTGTTTTTATCTAACTACATTCAATACTAAAAATGACGCACAGTGGACGAATGGTGCAAAAAAAAATACCGGTGACGAAATTACTGAGATCATTTAGGACATGGTGTATTTCAACTTACTTACAAAAGACACCCCTTATATTTCGGCTAATCATATTAGGGAAGGACTGTGTTTAATTCTCTATGCCGAATATTAAAGAAAAGGTGGGCAACGTAATAGTCAGATTCACATAGGTCTAGACAGTGACCTGTAAGATTCTTTCCAACGTGGAATTGCTCATCTTCAGAAAACACCAATCATATTGAAAAGAAGCTTCCTCGATTTAGGTTAGATTCATGACAAAACTCTGTGTTAGAATGTTACAAACATGTAATTCCAAGCATCAAACGATCAGTATATCAACAGTAAAGCAAAATACAATACAATACAAATACAATACACAACACATTGAATAGTGATGTTTCACATCAATACTTATACCCAAGACGCCATTTGCATGGATCTTGGATTGTTTTAACAATACAAAATCTCCATTAATTTTACTCATATGTTCCTTATACTTACAGATAATTTTAACGGTAATCTCTATAAAGTTATCTGTTTCAACGAACGACGTACTACAACCACTGTTCATTCACAACATATTCACTCATATTTTCTTACTAATCATTTTACAGAGAAAAATTTACAACATTAAACTACATACATTTCTTGCTTTTAAGCAGTCAAGTATTCAGGCTATAGAGTCCGACCACTCGATAGATTCGGCAATATTTCATTGTACTGGTTGACAATGCCACTGTTTCCGACCAGGCAACGTATCCTTCGTCACTTTTTCTGCATCATAATGAGAGGCCACCTGTTGGCACAACATCCTTTTTTTCAATGCACGTCAGTCACGTCAGTAAAAGATTTATTCTGATATTATACCAATTTCTCGGATGGTATGAAGTTCCTCTCCGGCTTGTCTATAGGAGGTTGGTTGACGACGGCACTCACAGTTTTAAGGTGACTCGGCGACAACTCGGACGTGTCCGCTCCTACGGTTAACGACAAACCTTTTGGGGTCGTTCCATTTTCATCATCGCACTTGGCGCCCACGGTACTATGAGTGGACCCTGCGACTGGCTCGGTAGCCCAGTCCTTAGCCCAGTCTTTGTATGTCTGCCAATAGTTAGCCTCATCTGCAGCATCAACATCGAATCCAGCCTTACTATTACTCCTCCTAAAGTTAATGACATATGCCAAAATTGGTAATTAGCCTAAGCCAACCGACACTCTATCGAGGTTTGTCCTCTTTTCTTACACTATTAATTCATTTTGAAATAAATTGCTTCATCATGCCTATAATTATTCTACGAAATACAATCAGTTTCTTCAAACTTTCTAGCTAGATACAAGCACGTTCTTCGAATAGGGCGCACAATATCAGCTGACCGAAGATTCACGAGACCAAAGATGTTAGTCTTGTGAACAATCTGACCAGTTGTCAGGAGGTTTACGAGACCAAATTTCTGGACTTTTAATGTTATGAACCCGGTCCATGTATTTAAAAGAGAGGACGTGTACATGGTTGAAAATGTAGGTTCCTATAGAAGTAGGCCTAGATAAACCAAATACAGTGGTATGGCGCTTCCGCTTACTAAATTGAATTGTGGAGAGTCAAGAAACATGAAGAAGAAAAAAAAATCATCACTAGTTAACTACTACTTCTTTACCAAAGTGAATGATTTTATGACCTCAAACAATGAAATAGTGTATTCAGAAGACTTATGAATGCTTCAAACTCCAATTACAATTGTCTTATTTGTACCTATTCTTTGCGCAATATAAAGTAACCAAAATGAGTACAACGACGAGGATAGCAGCTAATGCCGTACAGATGTAGATCGTCAGCTCCATCTCTCTGGCAGTCATTTGACCTGCAAGTGATGAGAAAGGGTACAGTGAAAAATATTTGACACGAAGGTAAACAACATCGATTCAGAATTAAGTCCTAAGAAAAATGGATTTGGTTGAAGTCTGTGGGTCAGAAAATAAACGAGGGTGTCTGCATTATGTTTTTAAATTTAAGGACATGTAATGGATTATACAGATTATGAATAATCTTTTCGTTAAAATGCATTGTAGTTTTGAAGTATATTGGTGTCGTTACATGTGAGTAAAATAGTAGTAATAACTTAAGACATACCTCTGCCTGGGATTTCTTCAGATGTCGGTAATGTTGAGATTCCTGTTGGAAGCTCATCTAAGGAATATGTCCTACGCGGCCTTTTAGTCTGCGATATCGGTGTCATGATATCTGCCGCAATAGCTGTATCATCAACGATAGTCTTCGGTTCTTCTGGTAACTCCGTGCCATAAACATCTGAAAGCTCTGTTGCGAAGTCAGAAAATAATCCTGGGTCTGGAATTTCAGTTTCTACCTCGACTGGCCATGTCAGCCTCGTTCTGTCACCTTCTGTCGTTCTTCTCCCGGATTCGACCACCACTCCTTCATCCGCATCTGAAGTGAGTGACGAATAGCTGATGTCATCGAAGACCCTAAACCCAAAGTCGTCCTCTGATGAGGATTCACTCACCGACGTGTTCTCTGCTAAGTCTTGACGGAACACTTCCGATGATGATGATAACGTACGAGTGAAATTATATGCCATACGGAATCCTGTTTTATTATGATCTGGGATGTCTCCAGATGTAAACTTAATGGTCACGTCGCGTGATGATGGTATATTCACAGACCAATCGTCACCAGAACAAAACCGCTTGTTTAAAACTTTGGTTTCTTTGAAGAGTGTTATCTGAACATGTGTATCGGACAGGAGACATGTCCTTCTCCTGCTCATCCTCACTCCATCCAGATCCATAGACAGAAACCGAAGATTCACATGCTCGTCTGGATTTGCTAGCAAAGTCCACACACATTCGAAGTTAGGTGGATACGGAATCGGAAAACTGTCCAAAGGCAATGTACCTGACCCCTCCCCGATAATAAACTCGCACCTTGCGGGTTCAGTAGGTTCTGGGGAAGGTGTGATCCACGAAATGTTGGTATATAGGTTTCCGCACAAACATGGGAACTGAAGATCATCAACACTGCCATTGAACATAGAATCAATGGACATGAACGCTGCACAGAATCCCCGTCCAACACTGTATTCCGGGGAAAATTCGACTGTGATTAAACCTGCCTCGGATACAAACAGGTTTTGTCCTCGATTGTTGCAGATGAACGCGGAATATCCAGAAATTTCAACCCTGATGTATCCATAAACAGCATCACATTCGCCATTGATCACCGGTACACCCAAATCAATGTCCAATATTTTCAATGCTATTTGGTGATCAGGAAGAGAAGATTCAATCGTCCAAATACAATTAGTTCTAGTTTGCAGCTCTTGCGGATAGAATGCAGATGAAAAGTAACCGAATTCAGACTGTAAACTGCCACCACACGCATCAGAACCCATACCTCCACAGACATCAGGCTCCATCGATACTACGTCGATTTCTGGCGGCAGTGTGGACATTATCAACTGTGAAGGTGGTGATTCTTGGGTAGTCATGACTAGTCTTCCTGTAAAAGATGGAACAGGAGTCAGACCTCCGGGTAGAGCTTTGAACTGTTGACCATCCACAGTGGATTTTTGAAGGCTATAGAAAGCCTGGAAGCCTCTGCCCTGTCCATTTCGACTGTAAAACTCTATTTCGACTGAGTTTGACTGTATCAGCAAATGATCATTTTCAGTTCTGACACCGCATAAAATCTGCTCATCTCCTGAAACACAATCAAGGATCCGAATGAACGTATCGGCGTCACTACAAGGCGGGTATGTCCCGGGTGCCTCACCAAGGTCAAAATCAAAGAAATCTAAGTTAAAAGCCACATTTTCCTCTCCACGTACAACCCAGAGGCAGTGTGAACCTGCTGGATATCGTCCAGGAAACATTGATGATGCAATCCATCCACTCTCTTTTTCAGATTCGGTGAACCACTCCAACCAGATTCCGTCTACAGTGCATTTGCTCATGAGGGCAGGCAGTCGAACAGTCCCGGAAATAGTGAGGCTCTCTAGGTGTTCTGTGCCATTGCAACTGCCAGTGTCGCCTGTAACAACATGAGATCGAAATCGAGGTATTTTGAATGTTTCAAACAGGGCATAAAATCCCTGTCCTTGTCCTAATCTTCCATCGATACCTATCCTTAGGCTATTGCTTGAAGATTTAACAACCTGGTTTTCAAGAGTCCCGCAGAGGAGTACTTCGTCTGAAACGAAGTCACTGACAGTTACAAAGGAATACGCTTTATCACACGGATCTATCTGGGCAGAATCAAGTGAAAAGTTTTGAAATCGGAGCATTATGAAGCGAGACGGATCCGTCGATATATACCAGCAGGAGGTGTAGTTGGCTGGATAATCATCGGGAAAAAGAAATGTAGAAAATGTTCCAGAGTCCTCTGTGAATATGTATGCACATTCGTCAGGGATTACTATAACATCAGTCGACTGTTTGGATGAGGCGGTTGGTTCTGGAGAAAGAGTGACAGCCTCGCCATTGTCAACGTCCCTTCGAAAATGTTCACCGTCGTCAGAAAATGGTGTGCTTAACAATGTTGTGTAGGTAGCCTTCATTGTACTTCCATTATCTTCATCAAGCGAATCGAAGAGCGAAATGTTTGTGAAGATGCTTTTTATGAAATTCGATGGGCTTAACAATATTTGCCAGCAGATAGTATTGTCGACGGTGGTATCAATGGAATAATTATTGACCATCGTGAAATTGTCAGTGGCATTCATGAATAATAATTCACAATTTGCAAAGACTCTCACAACATCAGCTAACATTGAAGGCAGGATGGGGAACTCTGGTGAAGGACTCCAAGCATCATCTATATCCAGGTTTCCTCGAAATGTATCTTTCTCAAGATCAAATGATGAGTAAACTGCATGTATTCCACTTCCAACTTTACCTGCCTTGGGGTCGAACATTAAAATCATCCTGCCGCCTGTCGATATTATGTTCCGTGGCGGTAAAGAACCGCAATATATCTGTTCCCTGCCCTGGGTTGGTGAAGAGATGATGAACAGAATGGGCGTGGTTTCATTGCAGATGGAAGGGGGCGTGTACCCTAGATCAATATCGACGAACTCAAGGTTAATTGCCTTCCCCTTTCCAACAATGATCTCCCATATCATGCGAATATTTGGAAAAGGATTCGGGTAACCCAAAGTAGAAAAGTTTCCACGTTCACCTGTTAGGGAGTACACCAGTGTGTTCTTTATCAACATGCTCGATAATTCAGCTCTACCCATATCAAAATCAGGCATAGCAATACTTATCTCTGCTTTGAAATCTCGGCCAGTGATTGCAGAAGGATTGTAATGCAGCTCTATGCGAACAGGAGATATGAACTGAGCTCCCATTGAAGGAATCGAGCAGAGAAAGGTCTCATTGACGTTTCCATCTGGCGCCCATGTACGGATAGTGAGGAATGCAATGTCAGAGCTACAATTACTAACAGCAGGATTAGAAAGACCAATGTTGAGAAATGATAACATCAGTTCTTCATTCAGATCAGGCATAAACGTCAGTGAACAGTTTTCACTATTGCCAAATGATCTGTTCATGGGACTTATGGTCATTCCGTAGAGTTCAAAGCACTGGTCAGCGCCCATGTCATAGCTCATGGTTAAAAGTTCTGCAAAATCTCCTCCACTGCCGACGTCATAGACGTCATCTTGATCCAGCTCTACGAATGAAGATTCGTCGATGGCCTGGTACATGAGTGCCCACACGATCTGGGAATCTCGTCGAGTATATACAGTTATGGAAACTCTGTTGCTAAGGGTTGTGAATGTCAATGCTGTAGTCTGTGCAGAATTTACTTCACACAACGCCGTCTGCGTAAGTTGAAAATCAGGAAGGAATTCTGTAAAGACAATGCGTGTTCCGTTTTGAAGACAGGAATCGCCGGCACTGTCGGCAAGAACCAGGCTGGAATCGTTAAATCGTAGAATCGTCAAAACAATGGTTACAATGAAGTTCTCTGGTGCAGAAATGTTCCATCTGCAAAACAACGATTTCGCCATTACATTCGAAGACAGTATACCAGATGAACTCTCCAGATGATGTTCACATACATTTCGATTGTCGCTCCTTTTCTTAATGGTATGCTCCTTCATTACTTTCGTCCGGTTGCCATTCGATGAACTTCTTCTAAAGATGCGGTATGCATGACCTAGTGAGTCTTGAACATCTGCCGTGCCATCAGCTGTAGTCCGGGGGTCATCGCCAACGTCCACTATACAATTTAAAAAAGAGACACAAACTACATGCATGACTGGAATCTAGAAAAGGGCCAAGAAAGGATACTTCTTATCACAGATCATCATTAAATGTTAGTTAGTATCAACAAAAGCTCCGAATAACAGGGTGGTAATTCAGCATTTTGTCAAGATGACCTACTCGATCAGCGGACACCATGCCCCTCTCAAAAGCGAGGTTATTTTTTAGGGACGGCTTCAAAGGGACGCATGAGACGAGCGTGATCCACCATTAACTCTTCAACGCTTTATAGCTATTTCCTTTTGCTGTATGTAATCATATTGGTTGCAGCAATTCTTTTTATTCCAGTTTATTCTGCCATTACATTGAAAGGGGTTGCAACTTTCCCCATAATTGTTATCTGCTGTTATCTATTCCAGTTCATTCCATTCATGTTCGAATGCATTCATTACAATTGTACAAAATTGTACAAAAGGTATTTCTCACTAACGTCCTCCTGGCGCTCAGCAAATGATACCATGTAAACCAAATGTATGTATCATAATTTTTTTTATGGACAATAAAACATGAATCATAGATCTACACTTTAGGAATAGGTGTTAATCCAACTTAATCAATATTGTAAAAAGTGTCCAAAATTGTGTATATGATTGAAATTACTTACTGCGTAAGAAAGAAAATAGCGACAAGTCTTCAAGTTTCCGAGTATCCTGTTCCAGATGTGGTGCCCCCTATATTGTGAAAAAATGAAGAGGTGACTTAAAATTACATTACTAAACAACAACAAAATACATTGACAACATGAAATATAAAAGAGAGAAAGTTGATTACCCAATATAGACTGTCCCCTGAACCGATCTGATCGGAAGTTGACCTCTATCATGTCGTTCCTGCATGCTCAGATGACATTAAAGGCAGTGATGAAGAATGATTTTACAACCCCCCCCCCCCCCCCCCTCTCCTACATGACTCTCCATTGAGCTCTTCTGGGTTATTTTTAGTCTTACTTCTCAAGGGGGCGTGGTGCAGTCCCCTTGGAATCTAGATCCACGATTATATTTATCAAAAGTGAACCCACCAATACCATCGACAATGATTGAAACAAAGAAAGAGATTTTCATTCCTAACTAAATGTAATGAGAAAAGATAACTTAATATATACAGTGCGTCCCAGAAAAAACGAAACCGAGATTTTCGATGTTTTATCATAACTAATCACAATTAAAATTAATAAATGACACATATTTGTAAAGTTAATTAGATCCTGCTCTTTCATTTGATGCAAATTATATCATGCACATTTCCAAGGTTTGATTAGTCTTCACTGGCTGCCTGCCGTAGCAACAAACAGAGTTGACAAAAGACTTAACTCCGTTTCGCTGACGATCAGCCACGCACAAAGAAGACAAAAGACTTGATACGTGGCTGATCGTCAACGAAACGCAGTTTTGTCAACTCTGTTTGTCGCTACATCAGAAAGCCAGTAAAACGAATTCGTTTTGTCAAATTATGAAAATGCAAGCATTACTTTAAACGAACAGAACTTTGTTATTCCTGACTCATTTTTCTTAATTAAAGTGTCATATGAAAAGGCAGAAAATGAACTTTCTAGAAATGTGATTTTCCCTTTGAAATTCAGATACCGCCTGCCAAATGACTTTTTGGTACCCTTTCTTCAAATTGTTTTAATCACTCATGCATAATAATGACTTGCATCAAATGAAAGAGGATCTAAGCTTTACAAATAGGTGTCATTTCTTAATTATAATTGTGATTAAGTTATGATAAAAAAATCGATAATTCTCGGTTTCGTTTTTTCCGGGACGCACTGTATATCACACTTCTACATAGATTATAATAAGATATTTATGATAGATCCTTAAATCTGTATTTATTTTAGAGACATTTTAAAGTGAGATTGCACTACAAATTGGATTTCAGTACTTAGTCCAAGCTTGATATTTTAGACAACGGGTTGGTGTGCTCACAAAAAAAACATAAACGAAAACAAACACAAACTATCATCGATGTCATTTGATAATAATTATCAAGTCGTTTCCTACATAAGTCTTTACTACAAAGAGCAACGAAGTTTGCTCCAGCTCAAGAGCTTACCTGTTGGGCGGGTTCCTTCCCGATAGTGAAGGTGCCATTTCTGATCGCCGTCGTCGAACTTTTGCTGGGTGCCGAAAAACACACAGCTAAATACAGCAAGACGTTGATGCACAACATTTTCAAAGTGGCATAAAACAGAAAAACGATGGTCAGTTGATGATAATAAACTTTAAATCATCATGTTTTTACGTATTTTCTATGTAGAAAGATGACAATTTTTACTCAGGTATCAGGTTGTGGTCTTCCACACTGCCTGCAATTTGTGAACACCTTCTTCGCCGTTCGAAAAACGCGCGCAAACCTTATCAATGGACCAAACGGGTTGGGAATGCGGAGTCGCCAACCAATTTGACAAAACGGCAAGTCCATTTTCAATTAAACCCATGTGCATGTTCAGAGATTCAAAAGCATTCCTAAACATTGTGATGCTAATGTTTGAGCGCTTTGTTCTGCTTGGCATTGTGTATTGGATGGGCTCGGACAATTTCCTCTGGCAAACTCTTTCGAAAGGTTATCCTCAAGAAGAAACCCTCCTTTTTCACAGGCATGACCTATCTCTTTGAATAGCTATCGACTATGATGTCTCAAACATTCACGGAAACTAAGTTATAAATTTAACGGAGTTATAAGTACCCCCCCCCTTAGGGTATGTATTTATGCTTTTTCAAATTTTAAATCCTCTTACTTTCCAGGAATGATCTGTTAAAAAAAGAATAGTGAGGTTACGATGAAAATGTGAAATGTCCCTATAAAGGAGGGATTTCTAAAATCACAACACATCTTGTGCAAAAACATTTTGCATTGATACTTATAGTAAAATATCATTTCAATAATGTTACAAGATAGTTAATTGAAAATATCAGAGGCAGCATTCCCGAGTGGTGGGGGTGGGCAGGGGTCACAGTGCCCCCTCCACGTTTCTAAGTACCCCCTTTTTACATAGGAAAAGTGCCTTTTTTTACACGTATCCCTTTTCCTTCGAAAAGTTCCTATTTTTCTTTTGCAATAAGTGTCCATTTTCCATTCTCATAAGTGCCCTTTTGAATCTCTAGTAAGTGCCCCTTTTCAGGTAAGAGAAGTGTCCTTTTCACCTTTGATAAGTACCCTCTTCACCTCTGATAATTGCCCTTTTCAAATCTGAGAAATGCCTTTTTTCCTTTGTAAGAAGTGTCCCTTCCCCTTTTAAGAACTACTCCTTTTTAACCCAGATAAGCGCACCTTTTATTTTCACAAGTGCCAGTTTTCCTTTCAAATAGGTGCCCATTTTCATTTCGATAAGAACCCCTATTAAATAAAAGAGATCTTTCCCCTTTTCATAGATGCCCCTTTTCATCTAGGGTAAATGACCCCCTTCATCCCTGATCATTGCCCCTATTCAAAATTTGAGAAATGCTCGTTTTACTTTGACAAGTGACCCTTCCCCTCCTGATCAATGCTCTTTCCATCTCTGATGAGCAGGGGCGGATCTACGGGGGTTAGGGGGTTTAACCCCCCCCCCCTCCTTGGGGTGCCAAGGGAAAATGTGATGTGCATAGATAAACGCCATCATGTGTCCAGATATTCAACTCAAATGCAGGTAACTAAACCAAACACAAAGTCATGATAACTCTGGATATAAATGTGTAATGTATTAAACTGTTTTAATTTAAGGAGACGTTATCATGCACTGCTTTTTATGGTCTCCAATTCTCCATTGTGTTTGTATATAGATGCCTGGAAAACATCACTTACGGGGGTTCAATATAGCAACAAAACAAAAAATCGCTTGGGTCAAAACCCCCCTTAAGTGCCCCTTTCCCCTCTCATAATTACCCCTTTTCGTTTCTGAAAAGTCCCCGTTTATTTTAACATGTGCCTCTTTTTCTATTATTAGAGCCACTTCCCCCTTCTCATAAATTCGCCCTTTCACCTTCTATAAATGCCCCTATTAAAATCTGTTCAGTGCCCCTTTTCTTTCAACAAATGCACATTTTTTTTACTATGAGCATGGACCTACTTCGTAGTAGGTCCATGCTATAAGGGACCTATCCTCTTTTCATAAATGTCCCTTTTCACCTCTTATAAATTCCCCTATCAGAATCTGTTGGTTGTCCCTTTTCCGTCGACAAAATTATGTTCCTTTCCCATTCTCATAAGTGCTTTTTTTTCTTCATCCCTGGTGAGTGCCTCTTTTCAGGTGTGAGAAGTGACCCATTTTCTCCCCTGATAATTACATTTTGTACTTTGACACGTGCTCATTTTCTTTTCCAATGTGTCTTATCCCTTTCGATAAGCGTCTCCTTTTCCTCTCATCATTAAATGTGCTCCTAATTTAAAGAAACAAAAATCAATTTACCCCCAAAATCGCTCGCATTTATAGATGATATAATTGTGCTATTAAAGGTCTTTTCAGTCTTCTGTTATGAGAATGTGCTTATAACCCCATCATGATGGCTTTTTAATGAGGTTTTTCCTCTTTGTAATTTTTCGCACTGCGACCTCACAAATCTTTATTTTTTTTCTCGCTCGCTTCGCTTGCTCGCAAATTAATATTCAGACCATCGCACCCAACTCCTAATTATGATGCTTCAGTAAAATCTTGTATATGATGTATAAACAGTGGCGTACCTGGGGTACTCCGTCAGGGGGGGGGGGCAAGCGACCGAAACAAACAAAAAAGGCGATGCTAATTTTCACTTCTGGCGAGCGAGCGAGCAAAAAAAAATCTTTAAGTAACGTTTGGTATATAAACTGGTATTGTTGCAAGTTGGGGGTGGGAACATTCACTTGTTAGTGACGTTAATTTCATTTTTTTGCAAACGAGTGTAGCGAGCAAGAAAAAAAAATCACTTCTTTTTTAATAATTGCCACTTAAACTTGGTTCAATTGTCCCATGCAGGGCGCCGGAACAATATTGTGTTTAGGGTGATTTTATACCCATTTTAGCTAGCGAGCGAAAATACATCTTTCTCTCAATGAATTGCTATATAAAATTTGTTTTATTGTTGCAGGTAGGGGGCGGGCACAATCGTGTTTAAGGTAATGTCAATCCCATTTTGGCGGGCAGGCAACCCCCTACATTTCTCTTTTTAATGATATTATAGCAGGTTAGTGGTGGGCACATAATTCCACGAGCTAGCGAGCGTAGCGAGCGAAAAAAAAAAAAACTTTTCTTTTATAGGGAAAATATGGTACATAAAACTTGGGTTCATTGTTCCATGTCAGGGACGTGATTATTAAAAGCGGTGTTATTTCTATTTTGGCGAGCGAGCAAAAAAAAATCACTTCTCTTTTATAGGGAAAATATGGTACATAAAACTTGGGTTCATTGTTCCATGTCAGGGACGTGATAATTAAAAGCGGTGTTATTTCTATTTTGGCGAGCGAGCGTAGCGAGCGAGCAAAAAAAAATCACTTCTCTTTTATAGGGAAAATATGGTATATAAACTTTGGTTCATTGTTCCATGTCAGGGACGTGATTATTAAAAGCGGTGTTATTTCTATTTTGGCGAGCGAGCGTAGCGAGCGAGCAAAATTTTTGTAATGATAATTGGTTCATAAATTTCAGATTTTTTTGTTGCAGGGCAGGGCTTACACAATCATGTCTAAGGTGATGTTAATTCCATTTTGGCGAGCACGAGCACACCAAAACTTCTTTGAATAACGTTTGGTACATAATTATTAACTGGTTATTGCACGTTTGGGCGGGCACGTTAGCAGTGTCAATTCCATTTTGGCGAGCGAGCATAGCGAGCAAGCAAAAAAAAATTCTCTTTTAATAGAAATTAATAAATAAACTTGTTTTTATTGGTGCAGGTCATGATGGACGCAATCGCGTTTAACGCGATTCAATTCCTTTTTGGCGAGAGGGCGAAAAAACTCTTCCATTTTTAATGATATTGTTGCAGGTCAAGGGTGGGCACAATTGTTTCCAAAGCAATGTCTATTAATTTTATTCGCGAGCGAGTGTAGCGAGCGAGAAAAATGAATTATTCTCTTTTAGTAACATTTGGTACATATATTGTGTGTTATTGTTGCCATGGTTGCAGGTCGGGGCCCGTCGGGGCCCGTCGGGGCAGGCACAATTGTATTCTAGGCAATACTAATCCTTTTCTTTTTTCAGGGGGACGAGCAAGTGAAAACATTTAATACAAAATAGGCTAGCAAGCAGTTCGCGCCAGCGAAGAGTTTCAAATTTGTTATATCACTTATATTTTCCTATTTTCATTTGTTTTGATTTTTCAGGGCCGTATGCGGAATATTTTTCTGGTGGGGGAGGGGGAAAGATGCGTTAAAAGTTTTCGAAGAATCTCAAAAGCAAAAGGAGTGAAGGGAGTTCGAGCGACCGAACTGGTCATGAGGGTACTTTTGCATTTTCAAAAGTAGAATTGAAGGATTTGGTATAGGCCTACACTACATTTTCAGGAAAAAAACTGTACGTTTTCAAAATATCTGGGGTCAACTGCCCCCCCCCCCCTGGTGCGTACGGCCATGGTCTTTTTTTTAAAAAAAATCCCCATTTTTATTCCTTTCCTTTTCTTTTCCCTTTTTCTTCCTTTTCTCTTTCCTTTTCTTTTCCCTTTTTCTTCCTTTTTCTCTTCTTCTTCCTTTTTTCTTTCCTTTTTTTTCCTTTTTTCTCTTTCTTTCCTTTTTTCTTCCCTTTTCCTTTTTTCTTTTTCTTTCCTTTTCTTTTCTTTTCTTTTCTTTCCCCTTTTTCTTTTTTTCTCCTGGAGCCCGTCAGGGGGGCATTCTGCCCCCCTGCCCCCCTGCCCCCCCATAGGTACGCCAGTGTGTATAAAGAGAAACAAATATTGAAATCATCCCTGATAATGTAATCATAATGTAAAGGTATTAATACCATTGTCTAAAAAATTGTATATTTTCGCTTTGAGATTTCCCTTTGTAGGTGCCCTTTTTTCTCCAGAAAGTGCCCTTTTTTCAGAATTAATTTTGCTTGGCAACAGTAGACAGCTCAGTAAAATTAAGGTTTCTTATGTTCAAGTTGGTTCTGCCCCAGCCTGGGGCTGCCTGTATCTCCTGTACATCAATCTAGGAACCTTGGTGTAATATTTGATTCTGCCATGTCACTTGAAACCCATGTTTCAAATTGTGTTAAACTGGCCAATTGTAATCTACGTAATATCCGTGCAATTAGGCAATATCTTTCACCTCAATCCACCCAGCAGTTAGTACATGCTTTTGTTACCTCGCACCTTGATAATTGCAATTCATTACTCTTTCGACTACCCGCCAACCAAATT